TCAACATCCACAAAACTGAAATTAAAAGATATTCTCTTTTTTCACACTAAAATCATTAGGGATTGAAACACATTTCAGTAAGTTGCTGAATCCGACTGCATGCTAAACAAAAACAGTGCCTCCCAATAGCTACATCTCCTCAGAGGGAGATTTTTATTCTTTTTCATTTCTAATGAATCCAAAGCTTAACTTCTCTGAGTTGAATGAAGCATTACCACATGGTCTGGGATGCAGCTGCGGTTTAATGCAGTTTTCAATTGTCCAGCAGAAGTAATTGCTGCCCAGAAGCTGGAAAGGTGAGCATGCCTGGAGTCCCAAAGCTGTAGCATAAATGACACTGATTCCCAGACATGCAGTGTTCAGTTGGTAAAAGACAAACTATCATCATCAAGCAATAAAACTCCATATCAGGTGTTAGTAGGCAGAGCTGCACTGGTTGCAATACAAATGTCCAGGTTGAAAAACAGGGCCAGGAAGATTTAAAGATGGAAGTGAGGTCCAGTAAGAGAGTATACTTTCATGAGCTTGTGAGCTGCTGAAAGTAGAGAAATGGGATAACATTTCTTGTGGCTTCAGGGTGGCTATAAATTTCACTTCCTCCAACACCATGGGTACTTTTCCCCCAGTGAGACACTAAAAAACTTTGCCAGCCTTTCTTGACTGCAGCAGACGATGTTCTTTGATACTGTCCACATCAGCTCTCATGCAGATGACTGGATATATAAAACTCCTGAGTGAGCTCCCTTCCGACTTCCTGTGGAGTCAGGCGAATAAACTGTTTTGCTTCAGACAAAGAACACTGGGTGGAAAATGGGATGAAGCGTCAAGTCAGCATTCAGTCTCCATGAACAGAATACACATTGTTAATGTGTTAACATTTTGTTCATTCTGTCAAGAACTATCCAATGCACCATGAAGTATATATTGAAAGGGAAATAAATATGTAAACTCACAATGATGGTGTCTATAATGAACTGATATGGATATAACCATTATCGTGAAAAAATGTTTAATCAGTAATTTTGTAATGTTCTGAAAGACAAACATGAAAAAGAACGTATTTGTAGTGACATTTGTTGCTTTTAAAATATCACAAAACAAAATGTCTTTGATTTCAAATTCCGTGCAGAGATATTACTTTGAATTACATTTCTGTGGCCAGGGAGCACTTAGCGAAAAGTCAAGAAATAAGAAGAAAAAAGAAGAAGATCAGCCATTTATCTAAAACATAAGTCACAAAACTGAAAGATTATTAAATACAGTTAGGGGATGTCATGAACAGATGTTCCTGTCTGCAGATTTGGCAGGGAATACGCCATGAAGCAGCCTGGGATTTTGTGCAGAATACCAGGAATATGCTTCACGAGTGAAGACCACCCTGCAATCACTCCTTTTTAACCATCTGGGAGTCAAGCTTTTTTTACAGCACACTAGGACAGAGACCTGGCTAGCATTCCCAGACCTCTGAGGGTTTGCACAGTCTCAGCTAACTGAAGGGATGTCTATGCTTTCCATTCACTGTTCACTTACAGCAGACATCCAGACAAACTGGAATTTGAGACGAAACCGTGCTTAGGCTGCATTAGGCAAAAAATGTCAAGGTATCTTGTGTGAAAAGTAAATATAGTTAAAGAATGTTGACAAGTTGGAGCCTTGGTAGTGCAGTAGTTAGCATTGCTGCCTTGTATCTCGGGCGTGGGAGGGCTCAAATCTGGATCTGGGGTGCTTCCTTTAAGGTGTTTGTACGTTTTCCCTGGGTTTACATGAGTTTCCTCTCTCAGTCCAAAAACATACTGGTAGGTGAACTAGATTCTGGGTAAATTGGCCCTGGTGTGTCTGTGTTTGTGCTTGTCTGCCCTGTGATGGATTAGCATCATGTCCAGAATGTACCCTGCCTTGCACCTGCTGCTTGCCAGGATAGCCTCCAGCCCCCCCCTGTGACCCTAAACAGGAGAAGTGATTAGAAAATGGATGGATGTTGACAAGTTCACCCAATTCTTAGTTCTGTCTTTACCTGAAAGCACAATGTCATTACTTTGGATTTTTCCTAATTTTATTCTAGACACAGGCAAAAATATCCTTCTGAGATGCAGAACTTTAGGTGCAGGATCTCCTGGAAACAGCAGCATTATCATCTTCCAGCCTGATCTGGTCAGAAGCTAAGCAAGGCTGGGCTGGGTCAATACCAGGATGTAATACATCTTCGAGAAAACAGTTTGGTGGGGGACTGTTAGGTTGTGCTCTTCCCTTTGGGCCAGAATTTCTAAACCAGAGCCAACTAGTAAGGTGTTGGGACACTGCGATGTAAGAGGTGCTGTTTTTCAGATGAAATATTAGTGATAATGTCTTGACTGTTTGGCCATTAAAGACCCAGTGTACAGAGTTAGGATTTCTCAATCTAGCCTAAATGCCGCCCTACATTCATTTAACTCAATTGGTCAAGAAATTTCCCACTCAAGTGGCAATGAGAATGAGGACCTCACATTACCCGGGCAGGTGCTACACTTCAGTGGTGGATAAGTGGGTCCTCTACTGTGTGTCAAAGCACTTTGGGATCTTTTGAGTTAAAACCTGCTATATAAACATCAGCAGAAGCAAAAGTGTTAAACTTCTGTCCTACAAAGATACAGAAAAATAGAATCTGAAGCCTCCTTTTTGTAGCCACATGGCATTGGTTTTAATGTCATTAGCTTCCTATCGGCTAATGTCAACAGGCCTGTGATCTCGCACGACACTTTTGTTAATATATGTAGATGTAAACATTTACACCACTGGTGTCAAAGCCTCCGATAACCACCCACAGCGTGAATTCCACCAGGTTCTAAACAGTAACACTGAATGGGGCAGTAGCATTTGTTACCATATTTAAAATGGAAAAAGTTTTGTCGTGAAATATGCTGATAATGTCAAGATTAGGAAATATGCTTTTGTCATTTTGTAATCAGAGTTGACCTGATACAAGTATTTAAAATATTCCAAGGTAACAACAACTGTCAACTATTTGGCACTACCCAAATAGTTGAGAGAGCTGGGAACAAGCTTCCAGCTATGTTGGTAAAGCGGATACCCAGGTTTCTTTCATAATGAGATCCTTGGGTTTATTAATTACCAACATCTAAATAAGCTAGATGGGTCGAATGGCCCCCTCTTGTTTGTAACCTTTCTTGTTTTACATCTCTCTTAATTATAAACACCTAAACCAATGCACTTGAGTACTGCTGACCCAAATCCATTTATTTCAGTATGGTTATTATTCTGTGTGTGGCTCTATGTGTCTGTCTCAGTGAGTGAGTGTAAAGATGGTGATACATTAATAATTTAGTATATCCTGAGGCGAAGCAACACTGTGCAATCCTGTTCTGTATGTGTAATGGCATGTGGTGGGGCCTAATCCACAGTGACAAAGTTCCTACACTGAATGAACAGAAAGCATGCACAATACAAGCCATTTATAACATATGGGATGAGAATACTGTATTCCTAGAAAAAGATGGAAAACAGACTAAAAAAAGGCAACAGGGCATTCTATTTGTGGTTTGCTTATCTATAAAAGGAAGGTACCCTGGAACTCATCTATTATATTGCAGTGCTGTTCAATGACACTTCAGATTACAGATTAATACGACCTTGGATAACCAAATCAAAATGAACAGGAACAAAAAAAAAATCTTCCTACTGTCTTTCAGAATAAAAATAGAAAAGAAAAAAAATAACACTTAAGATCCTAATATTATAAATCACTCCCAGACTTCTTGGGTTTGTAGAAACATAACACTGAAAATAACTACCATGGAAACTTGGTTAATGTTTTCAATATACCACAGACATTTTGTGCCCCAAAAATGTGTGATAGTCATCTCAATCTCTGCTGATTTTTATAACTCCCTCCATCAGATATGGTAAAAAATGTCAAATGGATTTTCGGGATTGACTTCATTGTGATATAACATTTACTTAAAAGTATCAGGCTGATTCTACATGATATCATAATAAAGCACTAAATGAAACATGCAGAGTAAAAACATACTGTAGGTCTACAATCATAGAAACAACCCTAAAATAAGCCATGTCCTGTTTTTGCAGGAACTGAGACCAAGTCAGAGACCAAACTGGCTGAAGATACTGGAATTGAGCTTGTCATTCCAAGACTGCTAATCAATATATGTTAACAGAATGATCAGAGCAGAATGGAAGAACACAATTAGGAAAATTAGGAAAAAACTGTGGCATGCAGACATAAAATGACATGTACTGATAGCAACTGTCACCAAAAGGGAAAATGCTTAAAATGTGAACAGTAGATCATTGTTAATCCAATCACTCCTAAAACTAAAGAGAAACAAATTAAGATAATCACAAGACTGTTAGATGTCTAATCTAATTAGTATCAGATTGCAAAAATATGTAAACAGGCACATTTGTAATTTGGAAGTAGGTAGTTTCCAATGTAATTAATCAATACCTTAATACATATTGATTTTTAGAAAAACATAGCTATGGGGGATCTTGTTTCCTTATTGAATTCATTTGATCATTCGGATTAACTGGACTATATTTAATAAGGATATAAAACTTAATTGGTTGGTGAAATTCACATTGTGCTGGATTCAGTTTTTCCATGTTTAAATGCAATGTTATTTTAAATGTAATATAGTATATTTAAATGCATGTTAAATTACTCATAGTTTATTACTATTATCATAACCATAATATTCACATGAATAAAATTACATTTTGCTGTCACTTTCGGTCTTTTAAATTACCGGTCTTCAGGAACAAAGATGTAAGATTGGGGTTCAAACGAATAATAACAAACAATTATGTGTGGGCAGATAGCATGCAAATATGTTCAGACCACTTTTGAAAACCCAACATAAATCTGTATGAAGAAAAGTGAGCAAGATTCAATTGTAAAAATATCCTTTAAAAGGACATGGATATGAAAGAAAGTGAGAGAAAAAAGCCATTAATAACACAAGTAGACTGTGGTTGTGTCTCACCACTCATTTTGAACTTGTATTTCTTTAGCCCAGGAACCAGGAGCATCTGCTGCAAATCCCATGTCATCATGGGAGCTCGAAGATGATTGGTCGGAGAGGTGAGCAGGGAGAACAGGTGGCCTATCATCTTCAATAATGACAGTGTCATCCTGGGGCATGTTCACTGTGGGAGACAGCTGGTAGTTACCTGTTTGGAAAGAGAGAAAAACACAAGTCAAGTGGGACAGTATTACTCAGAAAAACATCAACAAACATTTATTGCTAGGGACAATTTAGAAAGGTTTTATACACTTTGATTTATTGTGCTGTTTCTCTTTCCTTTGAGTCAAAGAAAGCATCATATGAAAAGAAACTGTAATTTGGCATTTCTTTTAATTAATATATATATAGATAAAACAGAGAAATAATTTCATTATTGCACTACAAAGCATTACAAATGCTTTAAGGCTCCCTCTGTAATGTCACTGAACTGGAAAAAAAGCATTGAAATTCCTTATTCATGTATGAGATAGTATAATCTCAGTATACTTTTACACTTCTTGAAAGCAAAGCCATAAAAACTAGCATATCAAAAGAGCTCAGAATATTTTTTCAACTTCGAGAACAAGTTTGTTAATGGGATTTTACTTTTATCATTCTTGCCAGAATACATACTGAAACTCAGATGGAGCTGTTCAATTTCCAAACCATCTTAAAATCCACTAAAGATTTGGGACATGAAGGTATTACCATGTTGACCACTAAGTTTATGCAGTACAATGCCACAAATGTGTAATCAATTAAATGTGCAGGCTTAAAGAATCGAAACAGTGAAATAAAAACATCACGCTTACATTGAGGGAAACAAAGCTGGCGGGTGCTCACAGAGGACTTCAGGTCTAACATAATATGAGACTGCCTGAAGAGGTATGTTATCATGGTTAGTTTGTAGTGCTCATGTCCACTTGAGTTCTATATCAATTTACTTTTCACACTGTCTGCAGAAGCAGAAATGAGATGCAGCTAAAAATAGTCACTTTCAAAAGCTATTCCTTCCTGCCATAAACTAACACCTATTAAATACAGTACATAGATATAATATATATATATAACTAACAAAAAACCGGTGAAATTTAAACAGGCTTCCATGTGCTCACAATTATCAGGCAGTACTAAGTTAAATTACCAGAAATTACTTTACTTCCTCTAAACACTGCTAGAAATGCAAAGTTGTTTTCTGCAATTTCAGTACAATTTCTGTAAATCTAACAGTTTAGCTGCAATTGAACATAATTATTGCCAGGAAAAGAAATATTTATCCTGGCAATTATTCAGAACGTGCTTAGCAAGCTGTGTATTTATTTAAACACACAAAACACGTGCATTCACAATGATAGTTAAAATATAATCTGAAAATGATTATGTTTTAAATACCAGAAGCATTGAATATATTTGGATTTAATGTCCACTATGATAATTTCATGTTATGAAAGAGTGTATCATTAATTGTACATACAAAACAAATATCAATTTATTTTTGTTTAAAAATAGTTTTGTAAGAATTAAATTTAAAAATATTGTCAGATGGATTTTATCATACCTCCTGGCAAATCCAACTGCTTGTGACATGTTTTATACTATAATCATTTTTTATATACTTTCATACTGTAAGTCTCCATCAAAGACATTTAATCACATCAGAAAATTTTTCTGAGAATCAGTTTTAGTCTACATACATCCACACCACAACTTGTATGATTTTACTTTATTTATTTTGAAGTACGGCTATGGACTCCCACTGTGGTGCTATTAAATCTACCTCAGTCACAGGGCTCAAACTAAATGCCCTTCCTTTCTAATGAAGAAGGGCTGCTAGAAAAATGAATCTTATTTATCACTTTGCAGACGAAATGCAACATACATAATTAAATTATGCATGTAATTTAGACTGAGGGGTTACAGCCGTGTTCACAGAAATGAGAAGTTAGTTAAACTTAACACAAAATAATTGAATTCACTTTGGAATTAATGCCACTTTGATTAACACTTTAGAACGTAACTGAGTCATTTTTCAGATGGTGAATCTGCAGTGCCATCTTTTTTTTTACATAGCTTCTAACTTAATTAAATCTTGAATACCAGACACACATGCAGACAATGGAGAAACCAGAGAAACATTGACTAAATCATACTCATTTATTTTATGGAAATGAGAGGATCCCGACTATCCTGAGGACTGAATCACTTCACAATGTGAAGATGCCGTATTTTGCACATCCAAAAAGCCTTTGGAAAAGATGATAATAAACTTTATTTAATATAGCGCCTTTAAAGGTGGCTTCTTAAATGCTTTACAGAATGATAACAACAACGAAAAAAATACTATATATGCACAATGAGAATACACAATGGGAGGACAAAGTAGATGGGGGTAGTTAATACAGTAGGAGCAGAGGGGTAAAGAACAGAACTACTGAAGTAAAGGCTCTTCTAAGGAGGAAATTTAGAGTCTAGATTTGAACAGTATAGTAACTCAGACAGGTACTGAGGTGCAAAGCCTTGTAGGTGAGCATGAGGATTTTGAAGTCGACATGAAACTTGACAGGAAG